GAAAAGCAGATGCTTTCAGAAGCTGATCAAGATTGAAATTAACCTCTGAATCCAATGGTACAAAACTGGACTGCTCCATATTTTCAGATAAAGTTTCTGAGTCCTTTTGCATGAAGCAGAAAAGGTCTCTTCTGATCATTAATTTCTCTTCCAAACGGCAGCCACTAGGATTTTCACCCTCTTTAAACCGAGAAGAAGCTTTCTTGTACCAGTAAGAGATGAGGAAAGCAATGAGGCCAATTCCAGCCATGGCACCTGCAACTGCTATAATCACAGAAGTCAAGTGTCTGCTTTTCCTGCCATTAACATGACCACTATTCGAATTCTCAGATGAGTCAATTACAGACTGCTTGTTCGGATCCATAGTTCCTGGAGGACACGAAACGGTCAATGGTAATCCGCAGAGCAGAGAGTTGCCAACAAAAGCTGTTGGTCCTGCATTGATTAGAACATCACGCTCTGGGATTGAACCACTCAGATTGTTATAACTAAGATCAATATATACTTTTTCAGGCAGCTTTCCAAGGCTTTCTGGGATTGAACCATTGAAGAAATTGTGAGATAAATCAAGGGTACCAATCAAGCTTGGGAAGTTTCCCATATCATCAGGGATTGAACCACTGAAGCTGTTGAAGGAAAGGTTTAGTCTCTGAATATGATTCAGATTAGTCCCTAACCCATGTGGGATTGATCCACTGAAGCTGTTTTTGCCAAGCGTAAGCTTCCTTAGTCTCTTGCATTGGAGTACCGAAGAAGGTATTGAACCGTTAAACAAATTCTCAGACAAATCCAAGGTTTGCAAGGACACAAGGTTCCCAATTTCTGGAGGAACAGGCCCTGAGAAGGAATTACCTGAAAGAACCAAGCTTTGAAGTCCTCTAGCATCAAAGAGCTCAACGGGCACGCTCCCAGTGAACTTGTTGTCTCTGAGATTTACGTGTCGAAGCGCAAGGAGCTTTCCGATAACAGGAGGAAGAACACCGGAGAGTTTATTATTTGGAATGGTAAGAGAAATAACTTTTTCTTGAGCATTACATGTAACTCCATGCCATGAACAAGGACTCAAATCTGTTGAGTTCCAGTTAGTCAAATAGGTCTCTGCATTGATGGATTGTCTGAAGGAGAGAAGAGCAAGACCTTCATCATTTAAAGCAGCAACAAGAGTAACAAAATAGGAAAAGAGAAAAACCAGAGAATACAAGGCCAAAATCATCTCTACCAGAAGCAACCAGTAAAGAGAAAAATACAGGGAAGAAAACTGGGTTTTCTTAAAAAAGTTGATCCCTTTTGATATGGGTGTATCTATCCATACAATATATTGAATATAAATAAGACTTTTTGCAGTGTCTTTATATGAAAAGAAACTCTGTCATTGATTTGTTGGAAAGTTGACTGGGATGTTGGTCTTGTTTATGACTAACCCACTTCGTGTAAAAGGTGAAAAGAAAAGAATGTTTTAGTTCTGAAAAGAGATTTAATATAAACACAAACTTATGCCGAATGCCCCTCTCATCTGATAAAAATGACAACCCTTTTTTTTAACCCAGTTGCAAATAACTTTTAAACCCAAAGCACAGATGAATAATTCTTACTTTACCCAAAAGAAAATGAATTTTCTGCATAGTAAAACCAATTGTTTTTTTTACCAAAACCAGATTTTTTACACTGAACTTATAGAATTTGAGGTAAAAATTTCTCACCCAACACCAAACTTGAAGTAAGTAAACCTCTTGAGGTTGAAGTCATTTCTTTCATTCATCAAAAACTCAGAATTACCCTATTGATTACTGTCTGGTTTTGTGTCAAACATCATTATCTTCTTGTCATAATCATGGTGTTGAAAATAGTAATGAGTAGTTTTTTCAACATGGAGAAAATGAAGAAGCGTGATTTGGGGCGATGATTGGTCCACTAAATGTTGTATAACAATTTTTTTTTTTGGTGCATCGTAGGGAAGATTGTTGACTTTGACCACCTAACTCATGGAAGTGTCCAAGTCCAACAACTAACAAACTGATTGTGTCTATTTCTGACATGATCTTAAATTGCTTACACTCTGCATTCTTGTTTTCCAATAACTGGACAGAGTCTTCACTCCACTTTTGATGCCAAAATTCTGATGGGTGATTTAGTACAAAATGATAATTTGGACCGCTAACAAGAAAATCTATCGGTTGATTTTTTTGTATCGTTCTTTTAAGATTACGAGATCAAATTTCATTGAGAACATAAAACTCATCACTTTATAGGTATATTATAAGCTGACAGTAACTGATTTATAATGATTTATTCAGTAAAAATAAAAATATAATTCATTAAATATATTAGCGAGATCATAAATTTATATAAAAATAATGAAAAATGTTCTACTTAACGTGATAAAAATATAACTGAAACAACATTCATCTTCGTAATTCTTGCATTTTTTTAAATATATTTTTAATTGCTAAATTAGTTTGATGTAAAATATGTAAAAGATAATTAAGATAATTACATCAGGTAAAAATCGATTGACGTTACAGAATAAAAAATTATAATTTATAAAAAATAAATTTTAAAATTTAAATTAAATAAAAAATGCTTAAGATGAAATATATATTTGTAAAGCACTTTTAAGTATGAGTGTCGTGAGACTTAGTGTGCATATCCTCACTCCCTTCTAACTCCTCCCTTTCAGAACTTTCTTCTCTCCAATTTGAAACTCTCTTTCTCTACGCCATTACAGAGTAACACTAAAGAACTCGTCCGGGCGACCGAAGACTCGGATAATTGCAGAAGTTGGGAGCTCTCCTTAATCAATGAGAAGTGCTTTTCTGTTCCATAGATAAAAATATATTTATATGTACACTTAACATGAGTGTTAGTTATATATATTATAACGAGTTTGAATTTTATAAAAATTTAAGCTGGTTCCTATCTTTTTCATCGATCCAGACATTAATTGAATGCTTTGTGATAGTAAGAAGTAAAGTGACTCGAGTTCGATACAACAAAAGTAACATTGAACTCTCACAAATATATGACTCACTTCAAATTAGTCCTTTTCTCTTTTGTTGATAATTCTGAAATCAAAACAGGAAAAAAAAAAAAAAGTTGAAATAAATCTTTCTTTTATCTACTTTTTTAACTTTAATGGGAACAAAAAAGATTACATTTTTGCTTATTGAGAATATACATTTTAATCTGTGTAATTGAAGTTGAGCTCCCCTTAATATGCAGAAAGAACCAGAAAGGAAACCTGTGATTGAACTCTCTGTTCATACATTACAAATGTACAACAAAAAAGAGTCAAACCAAGATTGAGTAGTCAACCCCTTAAAACTCTTTCACACGGATCATCAAAGTTATTTGCCACATGGACTCCTCCCGATACACAGTCAAATCCTGGAGATAAGCACTTATACAAATAAGCACTTCCATTACTGGTTTTGTGCAATGTTGTTTTGATTGAATCAAAATGCAAGGTGTTTATGAAGGTTATTATAAGCATTTCTTGTAGCCAGCGAAAACCATATTCAGGCAGCTTATAATTTACCTTTTTTCCCACTAAAGATCTTGGCTAAACTTGGCATCATTTTCCTTTTCTTCTTGATAGTGAAATAAGTAGGAGTCACCCGAGTTGCTGGCGAAGCAGATTTTCGAAACTTTCCTTGTCTAGTTGGAGTTATTTTCTCACTGCTTTTTGTAGATTTTCTTGAAATTCTTGCATGCTTGTTTTCAGCTTCACTGTTCCTCTCACGTTTCTGTCTCCAATTCTGCATCTCCCCCTCCACCCTTCTCTTTGCAGAAAGTGATCTTTCTGTTCTATACACATTGTTCTCTTCCTCCACCCTGGTCTGTCCACTTTCCCTCAGAGTCATTTCAGTTTTCTTCACAATCTCCTTCTCACTTGCCTTCAATGCTTCAATCCATGCCTGAGCTGCTGCAACTTTTTTATCAGCAATTTCTTCAGCTCCACCAGCATGTCCTTTCAGATATTCATATTCGAATTTGGAGATGATGATTGTGGAACTATGTTGAGATGCAGAAGCAGCTCTAGCTTGCACTGTTTTGTCAATAAGAGATTTTAGCTTCTCAAATGCCGATGCTTCAGATGACTTAACTGCATCAAGCTCATTCATTGCAGCCTGCAATCTTTCCTCAACCACATCAATTTCAGACTCAGCTTTCTGTATTTCTGCCTTGATGGCTGCAGTTTCTTCAACAACAAGTGCTTTCTCTTTCTTTGCAGCTTCTGCTTCTGCTTTCAACTGGTCAAGAGTGAGGGACAAATTGGTTGCAATTGATTTAGCCTTCTCCTCAGCTGCAGATACTGCTGCCAACTTGGATTTTGCTCTCAGCAACTTGGAGTTCATATTTTGGACCTTTGAATTCACCATTTCTTCGGTTTTCTTTATCCGGGCAGTTTCTTCTCTTACATGCTTCTGCTCATTTCTTATGACATCCATGGAAGCCATGAACTGAAACCCTTCTTCTTTAATAGAATCCAATTCTTTCTTAGCCTCTTCTAACTCCTCCATAACAGACTTCAACAATGGCAAAGCAAGCAATTCCACTCCTCTTTCGGAACTGTCATGAGATTTCCTGAAGCTATCATTATCAACCTTTCTCTCCACTTGATCCTTAACATGCTTTAGCTCATTCTGAAGCACATTAATATCAGACAAAGTTACAACCAATCTATTTTTAACCTCTTTTGACTTGTCCAACTCTTCAAGAACATCATTCATTCTCTTCTTAGTTTCCTCCATTGCAAATGAGAACCCATTGGCTTCCTTCTCTCTTTGAGCTTCAATCTCTGTATATTCCTTCAAAGCCTCAATCCTTGCTAATTCTGTGAGCACCTGCTCTTCATTGGCTTCCTCTATCTGCTTCCTCAGTATCTCTATAGAGCTTGAATTGGACCACATTTTCAAGCTTGAGGTCTCAAATTCCTTCTCTGCCCTTACTTTGTCTTCCATTACAGTAGCCATTTCAAGCTTGAGTTTACTCAATTCTCGCTTCACAATCTCTAATTCTCGCATCACTTCTGAATACCTGTAACTTTCGTTGTTTCCAGCTTCTTCGCGCCTTCCCGACCTCGTAAGCTTCTGAAAATCTCTCCATTGTGTTTTTGATTTTGAGCTTGATTCCTCAATCAAAGAAGATAGATCCTTCTCCGTCTTCTTTGCATAGTATAGCTCATGCTCAGCTTGGCTTTTCACCATCTCTGCAACTCTTCTTCCATCTTTGTATCCATTAATATCCCTCCTTGCCCTATGAAGTTCTCTTGCTCTTGATGATGACTATATAAAAAAAAAAAAAAAAAAAATTCCCCACAAAATAAAAATTATCAAACAGACTGAAAACTAATATAACACGGTATTGGTATATGATGTACAGGCGAAAAAAGCATAAAGATAATATTTTTACAGTCAATGAAAGTTGTACCTCTGGGAAATCCATCTGCGTTTTCATCAGCGAAGGACTACTGCCATTAAAACTCCTCTCCCCGTATATCTCACGGGCTGCTTTAACAGACCCATCTCTTCCTCTACCCTCAGATTCTCTTTCCATATTTTACCTGTTCCATTGATAGAAAGAAACACAGAAACTGAGAAAACGAAAATGAAATAAGCAAAACCCATGAACTGGTATGAATTCATACATGGAAGTAACATCAATGGAAGCAAAAGACGTACTGTAGAGTGTCAAGCGGGTAGAGAGGAAGCAGAAGAAGCATGAGAAATGAGAAGACGCTATCTTTTTATGGAGAAATGAGGCACAGAGTTCGTTAAATTCTACAGAAAATGGAATCCAAGATAAAACGGCAGAGACGAACAGACCGCTTCCTGATGACTGGCTCATATTGTACGCATCGCCCTGTCTCCTCCCTTCACATTTTTACCCTTTTTTAATTTCCCCCAATAATAATAATAATAATAATGGAATTTAATTAAATTAAAATTATTTATTTAACGTTGAATTTGAATAAAAATCCAAAAATATTATTGCAGACAAAACCACGTTCCAGTTGGGCTGAAACCAAGCAAATTCCGTACGAGCAAGAACCCAGATGCAATAGCTGACAAAACCGTAGTGTTTTGTTTCAAACGACGTCGTATTCTGTCCCACATCAAAATAAATAGGTTTATACCTTAAAAAAAAAAAAATCAGGCGAATATATATTTTTTCTTTTTAACATAAGACGTGTGTATTTTTATCTCGTAAAATATTATTTTCTTATTTAATCTTAATAAAAAAATTACTTTGCCGAGCTAGAAAAAATTCAATTGAGTTATTAACTATGACTCGATTTCTTCAATATGTACATTATAATAAAATTAATTTTTTACTTTAAAAATTTTAAATTTTTTGTATCTATTAAGAGGGTCGTTAAAAAAATTAATTTAATATTACTATTAAGTTTTTTTTTTAAATTCTGTTGTAATAGCACGAGTCTTTTTTATATGTCATAAATGATCTACAAATAAAAAAAAATTTATAATAAATTGAGAGATAATTAATTAATTTTTAATATAAACGTAATTAATTGTATTGATTTCGATAACTACGCAATCTGTATAATTTAAAAAAAAAATTAAAAGACTATGAATCATATATTTCGCAGAATGATATTCTTATTAAGTTTGTATGTATTTTTTTAATATATTTAAATTTAAATTATGTATAAAAAAATGGGATGATTATTTTTTAAATGAGAGAAATTACATAAATGTGTAAGAAAATACAATTTTGGATACTTATAAATGGGACGAATAAGGATAAAATGATGGTTTTAATTTTTAATTTTTTAAATTTTTAAATGATAGAGAAATTAGGGAAGGGGAAAAGTGATGGATTGTCGTTTCGTCGGGCTTGTTCCGACGTAAGAATAGTGTTAAACCCCTCAAAGGTAAATAACCCGCCACGTATTTTATTATAATCCCCAAAAGCCAAACTGCCCCCAGACAGCTTTTTTTTT